CTTGACATTCTAGCCACAGCCTTGCCCCACATGGTGCCCTGGTCTTTTCTGGATACAAATCGGATCCGATTTTACAGACCTCCTCACTGCTTCTGGCCCTGAGCGTTAACATCTTTCATGTGGTCAACTCCTCAGCCAGAAGAACCCCTCCTACAGTACCCAGAAGGCGTGCTGAGTCTCGAGGTAGAGACTAGGCACCTCGGCTCCCTGGAGAGGACTGCTCAGTGCATCCTTACTCCCTATCTGGCATCTACTGAATGTGGGGCCCAGGAGACAGAGACTAAGACCCAGTAAGTGTGGCAGGGTATTAAAATGGGAACTCCGTCTATTTTTAAGGCAGGCAAACCCAAATCCTGGCTCTGCTTTTCCCTAGTTTAAGTCACCACAGGCAAACGATATAACAGCTGGAACCTCAGTTTCCTCACCTGTTCCATGGCAGAGGCAGCTGCATTTTGCCTACAGACCAATCAAGAGAGTCGCTTGCACAGCCGTACATGCTCACGCTCTACCCCTGCCAGAGTCCAGCTTTCCCAGAGCCCCTTTGTCTCCCCCTCCAAGGTAACCATAGGCTTTCCCCAACACTCATCTGGGATACAAAGCTCAACCCTGCAACCCTCATTTCCCGTTTGTTTAGAAGCTGTGCATCATTAACTCAGATGGGTCCGCCTCACTGCTTCCCACAGCCTTCCTTTCGGTTACTTACGTTGGAAACCAGCCCCAGCTTTATTTTAATGCCCATTGGATGAATTATGGGAATGGCCGTTCGAATGATGACAGGAGCATGAATTTCCTCACTGAAGTCCCAAGAGCAAAAGGCAATCCAAACAAGGCACACAGCCCTGGCCAAGGTGTGCTGAGGACAGCCACTCATCAGACATGCGTTTGGCTTGGCAGGAACCTCCGCTCACAGTGAGCCGGAACCAGAGCCTGGGCCGACAACTCTGATTTAAGCCATTAGGGAGGCTGAGGATTCAATATTTGCCCAGGTCACTGTAAGCCGGGAGGAATTATAAACATTTTGGAATGTTAAGTGATGCAGAAAAGCAGTCTCAGGGGACAGACTGAGGATTTTCTATCCAATCCCCAGGTGAGGGAGGCAGGCTGGGGAACTCGCTGCCTGAAGGTGGGGTTCAGCTGCCCCTGCTCACGCCACAATTCCTGGAAGACAAGACCTATGTCCAGGCAGACAGAGAATGGGCTGCTCAGGGAGCACCTACCCAGGTTCTGGGGTGGGGCAGGGCCAGCCCTACCCACAGGGACCCTATTCGACCCCACTCACAAATTGGAGCCAGTGAGGGCTTTGCCTGCAACAGTTCAAAGTTCAGGTATGTGGGACAACTAGTTACATCTGTCTCTGCCTCACACAACCATGCAGATGCTGCTGGGACTCAACAAACAAACACAAGCCCGCTGTCAGAGAATCGACGTACAGCGCCTCTATAGGACAGAGCAGAGTGGCCCTTTTTATGGAAGCTGACCGCCACGTTTCTTTAGTTGAGTGGCAGGGGAGTCAAACCACTGACCTTTCAGTTAGCAGCTGAGCACTTTAACCAGAGCATCACCAGGGCTCCTGCTGCTGCGTGAATAACTCACAGCTGCACTACGGAGCAGAGGGGAACTGCAGTCTAGCGTTTCCAAGGCTGTCATCGTTATGGGAGCAGATTCCTGAGGTGTGACTGTGGATTCGAACACTTGGACAGTAACAATTCACTTAGGAGAGTTTCTAAATTCACCATCAATAGTTATTAAAAAGGCAAAGTGGCAATACATCTTTTTTAACTTAAAAGGAGTTCTCGTGCTGGAAAAGGAGCTCTGGTAGCGTAGTGGTTATGAGTCAGGCTGCTCATCTAAAGGTCAGCAGTTTGAAGCTACCAGCGGTTCCGTGGGAGAAAGAGGAGGCTTTCTGCTCCTGTAAAGATTTTAAACAGCCTCGGAAACCCTATACAAGGTCACTATGAGCCAGAACCAATTCCATAGCACACAATCTCCCCACCATATTGGAAAGGTGGGCATTGCTGGAAGAGGGTGGGCAAGAATGCCCACCCTGAAGACCTTCTCCATGAGGCTGATTTCTGTCAATATCTCACTCTAGGGGCAAACTGCTGATTCTCCTGAGCTCACGCTGCATTCAGTCTCTCCCCTTCCTGCAGACCTCATAGTGCTGCTCCACAGGGAGGCTTAGGTGTCTCCATGGAAGGGGCCTCAAAGGGTACTAACACAGAACTGTGGAGTCAAGACAAGCCTGCCTCCCAGGTCAAGCCCCACAGTCACCTCAGACACAGACTGTAAGGAGGCACAACTGGGAGCTGGTGGTCGCTAATGAAACCTAAAAAAATAAATAAAAAAGGTGGAGGACCAAAGGTACAATGTAGCTTCTCAAATGTTGATGTATATTCAAAGTACCTGGGGCATCTGGCAAAAGCACTGTGTCTTGCAGGACAAGATGCGCCTCTAGTGCAAACATGGTGAGCCTGGAGTAGTGAGAAGAGTGATCCCTGCCAAGTCTGCAGTCACCTTGCCCTACTCTGGAAGGAAGTCAGCTGGTATGCAAGACTGCCCAACTACACATACGTAGGTCAAAGGGCATTCATTCATTTGAAAAGGGAAAGCCTTGCTCCAGTGGTAGATTTCACTGCGTGCTATTGTGTCAAACTGCAAAGTCATTTGAACTATAAGGTTGGTGGTTCAAGCTCAACAGATGCTCCTTGGAAACCCTATACAGGGTTGCTGTGGGTTGGAATCAACTCGATGGCATTTAATAACAACAACAAAGGAGCTCTGGTAGTGTAGTGGTTACAAATTGGGCTGCTAAACTCACAGTCAGCCATTTGAAACTACCAGCTATTCCGTGGGAGAAAGATGAGGCTTTCTGCTCCCATAAAGATTTGCAGCCTCGGAAATCTTATGCAGGGTCGCTATGAGTCGGAACTGACTCCACGGCACACAACAACAAAGCTCACTCTAAGAAAGACAATCAGTGGGCTGATGTCGCCCTCTAAAAAAGTCTCTGGAGGTCATGTTGGAAGGCTCTGAACTTGGTCTTGCTCTTTCTTAGAAAATGTTGGAAAAAACCAAGCTGGATGAAGCAGACAGTGACTGGGTTACTAGGATCAAGATTTATAAAGCTGTCGCAAACAGACTACAGAAAAAGTAACAAAACGTAGGAAGATGCATGTAACACCTCACATGTTCACTAACAGAAACACTGCATGAGGATGTAATAGGAAACCCTCGCCCCTAGGGTTCTTTGGGGATGGGAAGCTGAGACAGATGTCTAAAGTAGACACTTCCTCTTCTGTGTCACTCTTTAGCTCCTCTTTCTTCTGGGTCCCCTGATCACTGTCCCTCAGAATCTGTGCCTGTTACCCACCATCTAGGCTGACCCTCCAGGTCTGTGTCGCCCCTTGCACGGCCCCACATGCACTCCAAGATACACCTGCCAGTTCTCTGTGCAGACAGCACCCCGAGGGCAGCTCATTACTTGGTATGGCCCTTCTAGCCACACTGTCCTATTCTGTGATGTGCTGTAAATCCGAGGACCGTGACTGTGGGTGCATGCTGAAGTGAGCTGTGAACGAGACAGGATGAAGGTAGGATTGAGGATTAAGCGGGAGCTCACTGGCTCTGTAGGACTGGGAACCACAAGGTTTGCTGTTGAGCCCACCAGTCACTGCACAGGGGAAAGAGGAGGCTTCGGCTCCCACAAAGATGTGCAGCCTCAGAAACTGTCAAAGGGCCGCTATGCGTTGGAACCAACTCCCTAACACTTATCAACAACAAGGGTAAAGGGCTCCTGGTGTGGTGCTGTAGTACAAACCTACCAGCTGCTCCTCAGAAACCCTATACTGGGTCCCTACTTCGGCACTTCAACAAACACAAAAGGGCTCAGGATGCCCCCTCTTACTAGAGGGTGTGGCTCAGGTCACCACTCTTAAAGAGTTCCCTGGGGCATGGTCTGAGTCCAGTGAATAGGACAGCTTTGTCAAAGTTTGCTCTCTTGCTCTGGATCTTGCATCTGGCTCATCACATGTAACGTGAGTTCTTGGGACTTTGGGCCTTCACCTGACCAGATTCATTAGCTCTTGTAGCCTTGCTGTCTGACCTGCTGATTCGGGTTTCTTGGTTCCTAAGACTATGTAGCTGAGAATAATCCTCCTCTCTGACCTCTGAACTACGATTAGGGACTTGCCCGCCTCCCTCGTTGTGTACGCCATTTCCTGTGACAGCTGGGGCTTTTGTGAGACACTGTGTGTACTGCAGAACCCTGGGACATGAGGGAGGGGTGAATGACATCAAGGGTCATGGGTATCATGGAACATGTAACATGCTGGGAACCTCACAGGAACCAGCGTCACGCTGATCTTTCCAGGAGAAATGATTCATGCAGCGATTCACCACCAGTGCCCAGTGTCTACTCTTCCTCTTCTGTTACAAGCACCCAGGTGATCCTTTAGGAAACCAATACCGCTCTCCCACCTACACCCTCACTGCAAGCATCATGACCTACATCTGGCCAATCAGATCATTTCACCCCAAGCCCAATCTAGACCAGGTAGTACTCTCTGGGGCTTTGGTAGCCCTATGATAAAGGAGAAGCTCTTTCCTACAGGACTGCCAGAAGCCACATGAGAGAGCAAACTAAGATAGGATGACATCATTTGAGTTTTAGACTTTCTGTCATCTGTCAGCTTAGGCTATTTCCATTTCTGCTCCTAATACATGCCCTTAGCCAGAAGTGAGAAGTTACTTATCTTAAAGTGTTATCAGCAGTCTGTGTCTCCACATCACAGGAGTATTTTAATGTAAACAACAAAGCCTCTGGTGTTTAAATCTCAGGAATCAGTTATCATAGGGTGGGTGGGTGGGAAACCACAGACGGACAGTCAATGCCAGGACAGAGGCTGCCTGGGAACCTTCTGGTGGGAGCAGCTGCTCACTCATTTCTGCTAAGGCTGGCAAGCTGTGGGTATTAGAAGCTGGTTCTGAGTGGGTAACTCTACCTGTCTGGTAAGGCTGCCTCCGAGGTTCATGGTACCAGAGCCAGACTTGTTGGTTTGCAGCCACAGCATCACTGTGGAGGTCAGCTTGTAATGGGCGGTGCGACCACTAGACTTCTCCTAGGGGAAAATGAGAGCGAGATCAGATAAAAGACACCCAGAACATTTGGGGCACAACTCCAAGGTGAGCTTGAACGTGTCCTTTGAAAGGTCAACTCTAACATGCTCCATTCAAACTAAGTAGCATAACATAACATGACTTTTCTTCTAAAATCTCAGTGGGTTTTTAAAAGCAAAGAATCTAAAATCGTGTGCACTTAATTGCCTCAGTATCTTACCATCATCAGCGACTACTGCAATCGTGACTTACCCGCTATCTAAATGGCTGAGGTCTAGCCGTCTCAAGAAGCCTCTGCTGCAGAGTGCGCTATACTGTTTGCTATGATGGCATCTGCACTTAACGGGCCTGAGCCTCCAGCTGCTGGGGCTGTACCTGCACTTCCACGACGTGGATAGAATCCCAGCAGCCTTTGATCTTCTTGGATCCATCTCCAGCCTTCTTTATGAGGATCACTCCAGCAAAGCCATGATCCAGATCCCAGAGGTAGACAGATGAGACACCGCCTTCAAAATACCTGCAGGACACAGGCCCATGCATCCATTAGATGTTAAACCTGTCCAGTTACAGATCACCCATCCAGGTCCCAGGACTGTCACTGGGCAGAGATTAAGAACTCAGAAAATGGTCCTGGGTCCTTCGGTGTGTGGGGTAGGGAAGAGGGTACAGCATTCTTGGGATTGTGGTAAAGACAGAACATGACTGGATGAGTCATAAAGATGAATTGAGCTCAGTCACTTACACTAGTTTTGTGACCTCTGGGCTTCAAATATCTAAAGATCAAGGGCCCAGCAGTGTCTGGAAATAAATGGGAGCTACCAACACTGATGTAAACATTGGTTTTGTCTTTGGGCTGGCTATTTTACAGGGGCAGTAGAAGGGAGAGAGAATAGACACGCCTCCCAGCCCCAGATGCCTCTAGAATCCTGGTAGGTAAACCAGGGCTTCCGCTCGTCAGTCTTTATAAAGGACAACCTTCAAGGATAGGGCGACTTAACACTGTGACAATATTAACACTACCCAAAGTTCGAAACTACCAGCCGCTCCGCGGGAGAAAGATGAGGCTTTCTACTCCCGTAAAGATTTACACCCTCGGAAACCCTGTACAGGGTCGCTATGGGTCGGAACCGACTCGACGGCACTTAACAACAACAACAAAAGTAATCTATAGATACAACGCAATCCCAATCAAGATTCCAACATCATTCTTTAAAGAGAAAGAAAAACTGATCACTAACTTTATACTGACAGGAACGAGATCTCGGATAAGCAAAGCACTGATTAAGAAGAACAACTGGGGGCCTGATCATTCTTCCACAGGAAAAGATCAAGAGTCGCACCTTGGATGGCTGCTTGTAAAACTTTTAAAACCCCATGGCTACTAACCAAAGTAGGATACAGAACATTGACTTTATGGGCTATTTTAAGCAAACTGACCAAGATGTCCCCCAAGCATATATAGATATACACATACATACATATATAGATGTATCTATATATCTATGTTTGTCAGAGGATAGCTGTATACTTATTTGAGGGACCATGTCTCTGGGCTTGGGGGACATCTACCCCAAAATTGTTTGTTCTTACTGTAGGACTGTGTATGTAATAGTATTTATCATTGCTGCCTTTTACTCTTACATACCTCCCATCGTCTTTAATTACCTTGGTCCTCTTGTGCTAGTCTCCCCCTTACTGTATCATGCCTTTCCCTTCATCCAAGTTAATACATGTCTACTCTCTAGTTAGTGATTTTCCTTACCACCCCTCCCATTCCTGGTAACCATCAAATAATGTTTCTGTGTGTAAACCTTTTCTTAACTTTTTATAGTACTACTCTCATAGCATATTTGTCCTTTGGGGATTAATTTATTTCATTCTGTACAATGTCCTCCATGTTCATCCATGTTATGAGGTGTGCTACAAACACATCATTATGCTTTCACATTATATAGAACTCCATTGTGCATATGCACTGTAGTTTTGTTTATTCATTTTTTCATTGATTCCATCTTTTTGCTATTATGAATAGTAAGGTTGATGGTTCAAACTCACCAGCCACTCCGTAACTATAGAAGGTAGTCACAAGTTAACTTGGGTGATGCCGATGGCAATTAAAGAAGATAAAAAAGAAATTGAAACACATTCTCAAATTTGCATAGATTTAATAACGTCAGGTATTGGTTTACAGAAAGAATTAGGATCATAAGCACACGAAAATATGCTTAGCATTATTAATTAGTATTGTTAAGTGCCACTGAATCGATTCACACTCATAATGACTCTGCTGTATGAGGTTTTTGAGACTAAATCTTTGTAGGGGTAGAAAGCCTCATCTTTCTCCTGTGGAGTGGCTGATGGGCTCAAGTTACTGATCTTATGGCCCAGTGCATAATCTACAGAGCCACCTCGCTCCATTAGTTATGAGGTAAATTAACTACTAAGTAAATAGGCAATTATTAGGTAATTAGTTACTAGCAAATGCAAATTACAACTACAATGAGATGCTACTAAACATTTGAGGGAAAGTCTTCTTCAGTGAAGTGTCTGCTCATGTCCTTTACCTGTTTTCAAATTGAGTTGTTTGTCTTTTTGTTGAGGAGGTACTGATGTTTTCTATAAATTGTAGAAAATAGCTCCTAGTCAGGTATGTTGTTACAAAAATGTTTTCCTAGTCTGTAGGCTCTCTTGACTCTTTTGAAGAAGTCTTCGGGAGATCAAAAGTGTTTAATTTTTAGGGGATCCCAGTCATTAGTTTAGCTTCTACTTTTGGTGCTTTTTTAGTTATGTTTGATAGACTATGAAGGGGATTCAGAAAGTTCACAGAAAAATGGATAAAAAACCCCAAAATTTTTCAATGAGCTTTTTGAAGTTCCCGCATATTTTTTTTTTTTAATTAAATGTTTTTATTTTGCATTGAGTGAAAGTTTACAGGGCACATCATCAGCTTCACATTCAACCATTCATATAGCTTGTTTCATTACATTGATTATTATCCCCTCCATATATCATCAGTTTACAGTGTTTCTCTCTATCTTCTTTAGCTTTTTTTTTTTTTTTTTGGATGGATTGGGGGGGATTTGCCTTTTTGGAATTTACAGTCTCGGCTTTTAGGGAAGGTTTTTACATTTGTCTGTGGATATCCAGGGCTCATGTATGAGATTACTAACAAGCATTACTGAATAATCAGATGAGGGACAGTTTGCTATGTCTACTAGGTAGCTAGAGTCTGATCCTCAGAGCCTATGGTTTGGACGGTCAACAACGCTTGGGCCCTCAGGGGCTTGGCCTCCTGACCGGTCTGCACTATCTGCATCTGAATCCTCCTTATTTATTGATTGTTTAAGGGACGCTGCCTGTCTTAGGTGGTCAGTGCGAATTCCTCAGTCTTACCAGTCATTGAGAATCATTGCAGCATGGCAATGGCTCTGTCTTAAGTAGCCAAGGTTCCACGTGATCATTACCCGTCTCTGGCAACATGTCCAGCATAAACAGCTGCCATCCGAGGAAGGCAGGGAGGAAGGAGATCAGCTGGGGACCCCAAGCGCCAGACGTTGCCGGCCCACCACCTGCTCTAAGGTGACCAAGCAGGATCACTATGCTGAGGTTCAATCAAGTTCTTAGGGGATAAGTTCCCGCATATTTATGCCATATACAAGGGCCCCTAAATTTGTCTCACATTTTCTTTCATGATCTTTATAGTTTTAGGTTTTATATTTAGGTTTTTAATTTCCTATATGGTGTGAGGTATAGATCCTGTTTCATTTTTCTACAAATGTATATCCAGTTTTGTAAGCACCATTTGTTAAAAAGAGACTATCTTGTCCCTATTTCTTGAGTTTTGGCTCTTTGTCAAACATCAGCTGTCCATAGATGGATGGATTTACTTCTGGGTTCTCAATTCTGTTCCATGGGTCTATGTGTCTGTCATTATTTGAGTATTCAGGTAGTTGTGGCTTAGAGTAGGGTTTTGAAATTGATGAGTGTGAAGTGTCCTACTCTGCTGTTCTTTAGAAGTGCTGTGCTTCTCCAGGGTCTCTTTCCTTCCCATATAAAGTTGGTGACAACTTTTTCCATCTCTTTAAAGAATGCTGATGGAACCTGTATCAGGATTGCATCATAGCTACAGGTTACTTTGTGTACTACTGACATTTTCACAAGAAGTCTTCCTATCCATGAACATGGTATGTTTTTCCATTTATGCCGGTCTCTCTGGGCTTCTTGTAGTAGTAAGACACACATTGTTCACCAGTAAATCTCTAACCTTTCCGAGCCCTACTCATCCTGCATCAGTACTGCTGCTCATTGCTTTACGGGGAGGTGGAGGTGTGCAGCCTGGAGCATAGAGGGGAGTTGGTAGGTCTGTGAGCAGAATCTCAGATATGGACAGCTGGTAAGGCCAGCAACATGATGATGCCCCAGGGTGAGTACAGGCTTCAGAGCAAGAGAGAAATATGTTCTAGTTCCAGCCTCTCCAGTTATTAGCTGCAGTCATGTATTTACTTGGTTCACCAACTACTTTCTGAGGGCTACCAGGAAGTAGCTCCATAAACCTGGGTCATAGTTTCTTTGTAAAATGGTACATACAGGGGCACTTGTTGTCAAGTGCTGTTGAGTTGGTTCCAACTCACAGTGACCCTGTATAGGGTGTCTGAGGTTTTAAATCTTAGAGGGAGCACAAAGCCTCATACAAGGGCATGGTGGTGGTGGTGGTGTGCTGTGGAGTCGGTTCCAACTCAGAGTGACCCTGTATAGGGTTTGTGAGGCTGTAAATCTTTGTTGTTGTTGTTGTCAGGTGCCATCGAGTCG